TCCTCTTCTCTCTCACTTCTCTCGTCTCTCTCTCTCTCTCTCTCTCTTCTCTCTTCTCTCTCTCTCTCTCTCTCCTCTACTCTCTCTCTATCTCCTCTCTCTCCTCTCTCTATCTCTCTCTATCTCTCTCTATCTCTCTCTATCTCTCTCTCTCTTTCACTCTTCTTTCCCCCCCTCTCTCTCTCTCTCTCTCTTCTCTCTCGTCTCATCTCTCCTCTCTTGTCTCCTCTCCTCTCTTCTCTCCTTTCCTCTTTTCTCTCCTCTTCTCTCTTCTCTCCTTTCCTCTTTTCTCTGCTCTCCTCTTCTCTCCTTTCCTTTTTTCTTTCCTCTCCTCTCCACTCACTCATTCTCATTTACTCACACTCACTCACACTGACTCACTCACTCTCATACTCTGACAGACACAAACACACTCACACGCTCAGACACACAATCACAAGCTCACACACACACACACACACACACACACACACACTCACACAAACATATACACACACACACACACACACACACACACACACTCACACAAACATATACACACACATAAACATAGATACACACACATACAAACATACACACACACACAAACATTCACACAACCACACACACTCATACACACACAACCATGCACACTCATACACACACAACCATGCACACTCATGCACACACAACCATGCACACTCATACACACACAACCATGGATACTCATAGACACACAATCATGCACACTCATACACACACAACCATGCATACTCATACACATACAACCATGCACACCCAAGCACAATAATACTCACACACACGTATGCGTAAAGGCACTACTTCTATAAAAAAAGTCATATCTTGTATCAACATCATTTTTTATCTACCCAGAAAATCATACTGTATTAAGTGTTTGTATTGTTATTCTTATATGCACAGTAAGTCTTCACAGTCTATACTCAAACCTTTATTCTGTTCATGTTTTCTGTCTATACTCAAACTTGAATATTGCTCAGGGTGAAATTTAGGACCATATAACTACAAATCATCTAAAAGTATTATAATTTTACAGAGGATGATATAAAATGCATTGCATTCTGTTTAAGGCCTAGGATGATGTAAAACATTAAAATGCAACCTATTCATATTTCTTTACTTTGTTACAAGAGAAAAGCCTGCTGTCACTAGTAAATGACTATCATCTGCATGACTAATCTGATGACCATTTTACTTACCCTTTGCATAATCATAATTATAGTTTAAATAGTTTCATAAAGATATGTGACAAACTGAAACTTCCACAAACTGTATTTTACTATTATGGTCTGTGCTTCGTCTTATTTGTTTGTTTCTTTATATTTGCAGAAACAGTAAATTAAATAACAGTGTGGATATATGAATAGCATCTTAAATTTTGCTATGGAACTTCATAGCTATGGAAGAGGGGCATGATATGAGTTAAGATAACTAAAGTGTAAAACAATCAAATATACATCTGCATATCTATTGTGTGTCCACCATGTGCACAAGTGTGTATATGTGTACTTGTTCATGAGTTGTGTGTGCACATGTATATGCATGGGCATATGAATGTGCATGGGTGTGCAATTCACATACACTTTCAACATGGGATTGAATATATGATTTTAAAATGCTAAAATACAGGTAAGTCTCACTCTCACTTATTCTCTCCTTTGACTTTCACTCTCACCATCACCCTCACTCTCCAAATCACCCTCAATCTCACTTTCATTCTTACTCTTACTCTCATGCTCACTCTTACTCTCATTCTAACTCCCATTCTTACCCTCTCTCTCATTCCAAATTATTTTAGTCCATCATCACATGTTGGCAAAGTGACTCCCAAGGTGCTTGTCATCAACCCCGTGTCATGAATTGAATATCCAACCAGTTAATGGGCAGGCAAGATTTACCAGGAGTCAGACATAGAAGCCAGACATGCACAGAAAAGGTAGCAATTTTCCATTAGTTACTGATAAGCATAGAAAGAGAATCTTAAAATATGGGAAAAAATAATAATGATAATGATGACACTTAAAACAGTAACTGAAATAATAGTAAGTGATGATGATACCAATAATAAAGATAATGATAATAACAATAATAATAAAAAGTAAATATATATTGATAAAAATAATAATAATCATAGCAATAATAATAATAATGACACTGTATTAATAAAGATAATAAAATAAATAAATAATTAACCAAGCCATCCTTAGTCCATCAGAAGCTGTCCCCAGCTGAGGCCCCCAAGTTACACAATGATTCCAGAAGTGTATGGGAAAAAAGAGGATGATGACCAGTAGTTTCATGTAATGCTGAAGGATACAGAAGAGAATGACAGATGGAAGTGGAGGAAGAGAAGATGGACGAGGTGGGTTGGAAGGAGAGGGGGGAATGTGCCCCATAACCATGAAACGGAAGAGCTAGCAAGTTCGCCGCAAGACGCTTGGGGAAGTCTGGCTTTCCCTTACCTGGGGCGTCTGTACTTCCCTTGGTAGCTGTAGGGAAGATTACATTGTCAGACTACTGTTTCTCAACCCACATGTCAGGGCAGATTACAAAGTCAGACGCGCGCTGCTCTCAACTGCTCAAGGAGTCTTGCATTCAACCACCATTTCTGTTTGGGCTGTCCAAGAGTCCCACAGCTGTATAGCCATTTGCCCAATGATTTTCTTGCACTGTTTTTATCAGCTTTTTTTTCTCTCTCTTTTTTTTCTTGGTCATAATTTTGTTCTAATTACAGCTTTTAAATCTACCAAAAAGGGACAAACAAAACAAAATAAAAAATAGAGATGATGTACAAATAGGTTCCAATGTGTCCTACAAAACTAAATGGAAAATAAAATGAATAGGAAACAGAAATTCAGTTACTCCTGGAAAGCCCATACACTACTCATCCATGGCACTTTCCAACCTCTTCTCACAAAAAAAAAAAAAAAAAAAAAAAAAAAAAAAAAAATCACCAGTAATAGCCCTACTTAAGCATCTTTGCACACAAGAATATAAGTCATAAATGCTTATTTGTGTTATATATATACACGCTTTAAACTGGAAAATTAATTAACAAAAAAATATTACATTACAGTAAAAGTCACATCCAGTAACTTTCATATACAATCATTCGCTATTCATATGTCCTTCCATATCGCAACATTTGATAATTCTGGTTTGAAAAAATATTTAAAAAACAAGCAAACGAATACATATCAAAACTGAATTCTTATTCTTAAACTAATCCAGTCATCATCATTAAAAACCAAGTCAATATATTATTGCAGTTCAAACTCAGAATTATCAATAACATTTCATCTGAAGAATTTTAATTACTTTAAATGTGAAAGCACAAGAAAAAACTACATATTAAAACATGATGCACTGCTCAAAGTCAACAGCAGTACAAATTGTATATAAGCATACAATTAATCTTCTGCATGTTTATACACTGTATAACATATATGTATGAAATAATCAATTCCTAAAAAGTTGCTGTTTTTGGGATACATTTTCAATTTAAGTCCCTTTATCAAGTAGTTACCCAAAATTTGTACCTAACATACAACTCAGGAAAGACCAGAAATTGTCATGGCCCCCTCTCACCTAATCAAATTTCTTTCACCTTCTTGTGTTGACATACTGTATATCTCTTCTCGCTCTCTTCCCCTATCAATCTTTCTCTCTCTCTTCACCTATCTCCTTTCTCTCTCCTTTTCCTCTATCTCTTTTCTCTTGCTCTTCCCTTATCCCTTTCCCCATATCTCTTCCCCATATCTCTTTTCCCTTTTCTTTCCCTTTATCTCCTGTCTCTCTATCTCTTCCCTTATCTCTTTTCCTTGTTTCTTTTCCCCCTCTCCCTTCCTTTTAACCCTTTTCTCTTACATATTCCTTATCCCTTTGCCCTTATCTCTTGTCCGCTATTCCACTGTTCCCCTATTTTCTCTCCCTCTCCCTCTTCCTCTATTTATTCCACAATCTTTCTTTGGCATCTTTACTATCCACCAAACTCATTCTCAATTAACATAATCAATATTCACTACGGCCAATCTTTCTCCCTCCTCTCTCCTTCGTCTTCCATATAATGCTTGATCTCCACATTACCCAAAGAGCCTTTCAGAAAAAGGCCTCTGGGACAATTTCTCTCATAATTCTGATCTTCCTGTTTGTTTGTTTCCTTTCATTGCATGGCCAATTTTGTCCAGATGGTTGTATACATCCCAAAAGTACAGCATCTTTTCACTCAGCACTCAATAGTTCTTTGCATCTAACAATTTTTTAAAAACTTGTATTTCTAGAAGTAATAACCAATCACATTTCAAACAGTTGGGGACATATGTTGGTACCACAAAGCTATGCCTACAATGCCAGTGAATTAACAAACAGTGCTGGGAGGTTGTCAAGACAACACTGCACACAAGATACATAAACAGTCACCAAGGCACTGATTGGTATGGGGACTGGCCATAGAACCAAACTGATAATACCAAACCTTCCACTGACAGCCGAATCCAAATCTAAAAACAGCCTACAGTCACACCAGAAGTAACAACATTATGTTAACTAAAGATTTCTCAAACTAACATTTCAACCAACCACTAACAATGATAGCATGAGACATTTGTAACAATTGAATAACATTATGATTAAACCTAACTAGGCAGCAATTTGGAATGATAGCATTAACCACACTATTGGGTTTTGAGAGATAACCACTTCACTATGCTAGTTTTCAACAACCTACCTGCCCACTGATAGTACTGATGATGGCTTAATACAAAGGTATCTGTCACAGAATACCATACATATTGTGATCCTGTTTATGAAGTGATGCAAGAACAAGACCAGGCTTTAATCTGAAAACCTACTCAGTGGTTGGGTCTTGTTAAAAAGCAATAACAATCATCCAAATTAACAAGTCATGGGGTGCTCCATTTTGTCTTGGTACAGAGGAACTGACAAATTCTGAAGACCACAACTTTGTACAAAGTTTCAACAGA